TTGTCCCAGCCGAAATCCCGCTTCCGCCAAGCACCGCTCTGCTCCGGCAAGGAGCAGCCAAACAGAGAGCAGCGGTAGATGGAGATATCTTTCTTCGCCACGCAGGGTGTGTGAATTTTGGTGTTACCGCATGCACACGTGCGATAGCGGGGTACATTAAATTAGGGGGGGTCGAGGAGCTGTAACTTCCGTCTCCCAAATCCAGGTCTAACTGTGACGTAAATGCAGGCTTCTAGCGCTGACTTTTTACGGGAACCTTTCACGAGCCTGAAGTGAAGCAAAATCTGACTTCTCCTGGTATTTCTTGAGGGCGGAAATACCACGAGATGACTTCATTTCACCGTTTTTTCTAACTCTTAAAAGTGTTACAATGGCAAAAGTTAATGAGGAAAAAAACCTATAAACACCCAAGCTTTAAAACCTTATCTGAATACTGAACTTTTCTAGTTCCCCTGGACGTATGTAAGGAGCCCTGTATACAGAAAGCATATAAAATACCTCCTGCAAAGCTGTCTGGATGCTTTTTGGGAAGAGTAAATACAACTTGCACGTTCTGTAGAAATGCATGGGGACGATCAACATCCCAGTTCACAACCAAAACTTTACAGACCATTTTTCACAAACGCTCTAAGAGCTACGTGTTTGAAAGCAGGCTTTCAAAAGCATGGTGTAAGGAGGAAATGTCACGGATGCTTTAAAAGTCTTCAGATGTGTGTAAAAATGACATCTACGTTACATATTATCTTCCCAGAACAAACACCATTTGAAACGTGCCCCTTTTTAACTACCATTATGGGGTGTCTAAAGAGCATTTTGGTTGAAACTTGGGAGGAAAGAAAAAAAAAAAACCTACTGATCTTACACCTGCTCTTTAGCAGTGGGAAGTGGGTTCTCAATCTGTTAACATGACCATCTGGTCAATCTGCATATCACGGCTATCTGGATTACTGTACGATGGAATGACAATACCGCAGCCAAAACAAAAGTAAAACGCATCAAAAACTAACAGTGGCGCAGCTCTTTTGATTTAAATTAAATAATAAATGCGGAATCACAGCAAAGCAAGAAAGCCCTCTAAATAATTAAAAATGAGCCTTCGCCACAGCATAATTAAGTAAACAATATGGTATGCGCTCTGTATGGGTCGGCAATAGTTTCGACGGGCAAACAGGACACTTTTGCGGAGCAGCTACCAGGAGTTGGAGACGCTGCGACAGCTCTTTCCCTTTTTTTGCTCGAACACCTTTCGCATTACAGCTACACACGGAACTGACTGGAGCTATTAACAGGATTAATGCAGCAACAATCAATAACAATTGTACTAGAAGATTACGGTGCACAGTGTTAGGTACCTTTCTGACTTGGAGCTCAACGACACTTACACGGGTATTTTGACTGTCTGCAGCCCTTTTCCTCATGAACCAATCTCGGCATTATTTCAACTGATACCTCTCTGCGGTAGTCCCAGCATAAATTTTTTAAATCCGCCAATCGGAGCATAAAATGGGGCTACTTAAAGTTCAAGGTCATGCGTTTTCTACTATTCCCTCCTCAATTAGCCACAGAGCATATTTAAACGCTAAGTAAATTTCCACAGCCGCAGAAATAAGGCGGACTTCTTGCGTCGCCTTTGGCTTCTGTTCTAAATATTAATAGAATCCGAAAAATGAGCTCATTTAGATAAAATGCCATCCCCCGATTTTACTTAAATGTAGTATTTTTAAATGTCCTTCTGAAAGATTAAAAGATTTTGTGCCACAAATATCTCCCCGGCTTAATTCTCGCCCAAAGCACATAACGACGTCCAGCAAAAAAATCGGGCACCGTAGCATCGCTTTCCGGCCCGCGACCCAGCTTTGTCCACCAAAGTCGTCTCTAAAAACTGTGACCTCTCACAAAATTTAACTACTTCAATTGAGAATCTTTTCTACAATCTGATCACATTAGCAGGAGGAACTCCAAAGCAGTAAAAAACTCCAGAAAGTTCTCGGTTGAGTGCCTACTAATGAACAAAGGTTAACTTTATCTAAAAGGTCAAATGCCTGGTGGCTAAGGTTATGACCTTAACAACTTAAATTGTGACCTTGCCACGTGCCTAGTATATTGTAGATTCTGATACAGATCATCTGGTAAAGGACCGGTCATAAATTAGCTTTACTGTTAGACTCCCACAAAGAGAACGGTTTGCCACAATGGTTTCCAAGTTGTCATTTGATACGAGCGCAGAATAAGTGAAAACTAAAAAGCAAACCCAAGTTCAGGGTACGAAAATGCTGCCTGCTTTGAGTTAAACAGATTATGAACTGCAAATTGAGAGCAATACTCTGAATTTCAATACATTTTTTGGTCAACCTCTAATTCACAAAACACCGATGTTCTTTCCCTTTCCTCTCCCCCTCCTTTTTTTTTTTTTTGTTGTAACAAAAATGACATGTAGTTTGTGCATTTGCATATTTTTGTTTTCTTTTTCTAGCCAGTTCTTAAAGGGAATAATTGATTTCAGTAGCTTTGTAAGAAGCACTATTTAAATCGGTGCACATGTGTTCTTTTACAGATGATAGTGCCGACCGAGGAAAAAGCGTGGATTCAAAGCAATAATTATCGCGCGTGTTTAGAGGGAGAGGAACCTCTCGCCGTGGAAGGCATCTAGGATACGGCGTCTCGGCAGAGTCCTCCCCCCCGACCCCCGGAAAAAGAAGAAGAAGAGTGAAAAAAAAGAGAAGCGAGCACTACGGGTGAAAAGGTCACAATGGTTTTGGCACATATCTTCGAGCACGTTTCGGAGTCGGTGCCTCCTGCCAATACTGGCAACTTCTCAAAACTTTTAAGGAGGTAAAAACATTGTTTAGTGTTTACAAATCTTCTGCGCTACAGCAGATGCTTGCCCAATCGCCTATACGTAAGTCGAGCAGCCTACCTAATATTTATAATAAGGAAGTTGCCAGCGCAAATAAGCGGGTCCATCCGTTTCTGCGACCAAGTCCGGCGGACTTGAGACAAAGGGCCCTTAATATCCGCCTTTCGCATCGGTCCTGTTGCGCGCACGGCGCGAGCTGCCATTACTGCGGTTCTGCCGGAGCCAATGGCTGGCGACTTGGCCAATGTTCAGGTGTAACAAAGCCTGCTGGGATACCTCGGGGTGGGGAAAAAAAGA